GTAGTCTGGGATATTTTATTCTGTGAGACGCTGGAAGATGAATGGATCACTGTTTTGAAAACTAGCGTCTGTGTTTCATACTTGCACTGGTGTTCATACGACATGCGGATGGCCGGGGTTGGTGTATGCATACAGCAGTGATATTCTACCAGACCAGGAGAGGGCAGATGTATTGCAACAAACACAAATACATGACGTGTAGTGAAAGGGGTGAACTTTTATGAACCGTTCTAAAGTTATTAGTAAAAGCTTGGGCGGTATTAAGGTAACAAGGCATGCAACAGTATTTTGAAATCCTTACGACAAAATCAGCCGAGATCCCAACCCTCAATCCACTAGGCGAATTTTATCGCCATAACTTCAAAATACCAGTGTAAGGCTGCTTTTTAAAATATCCACCTCGGTATAATGTCTGGACAGTATGAAAAATTAAATATGCGGGGCCCTCCAATTACCCTCTTCATACAGCTGCTCACCGATACTACCACTACTACTAGAATTATTCTTCCTCTAGTTTTCCGTGGTTGACCGTTGATCTGTGAAAGTCCACTGTGCCACCTACTGGAAATACCTAATCAATTATCTTGTATATGCTCAGTCCTTGCGGTCGGATGCGCAAGGTTTCCGCTAGACATAAAAATCGGCGGGGCTACACGCGCAGTCCCCTTGTCCACAACCGAAAGCGCACGCGGAAAAATTAAATATGAACTGGCCTTTACCGCACCCACCCCACCCCACCCCGCTTTTTTACTTATTATTTTAGTACTATTATTAGGCATATATAGATTAGTACAAAGTACTGATGTAGGTAGGCTATAGCTATTTCAATAATTTCATGTTCGTAGCAAACATTTTTAAATGCCACTTAAATTCTACGCCCGAAAAGTACACAGTTCCAAGGACTCTCTGACCAGAAACTAACGTGCATTCACCCGCAACCAAACGAAATTTTAACTATTTAATGTCCCGTTCGTAGAGTACTGTTCTTTTTGTTCATTTTAACTTCGTTTTTATTCACTTTATTTTTAAATCATAGCAAATATCCTATACGTGTCAGTAGAATATTTTCCTTACAAAACGTTTCAGTCACCGAAATTGATTACGCCTGGATCTGTACAATCGTTTAGAAAATCTGGCTTTATTAACTCTTGATGAAGACTTGTGAGAGTTATTAACAAGGCTCTTGCGTGTGTGCTTTTAAAAGCAGAAAATAACACACACGGAGCCACGGCGGAGACCCTGTGGCATCCAAATAATAATCAATTTAACAATATTAAATCAACAGTTATCTTACTATGACTTTAAGCTTACATCCCGCCAGTTTAACAAGTAACAATAAAGAATTATGATTCATGAAGTAAAACAATAGGCTTATGCTGGGCTAATCTAATAAGGCGGTATGTTCACATGGCGTCGCATGACATCCGAGGTAAACGTAACACAAATCTACATAAATAAATTCAATATTAAACATTCGAAACACGGCATTGATGCAAGGAAATATCCGCTCCTCTTATGTTAATGATCGCCAAAAAACCATCACTGCGTTCGAGTGACTCGTATATATATACTCGACAGTTTATCGCCCATCATATCTCGATATAGCCTACATGAAACATTAAAAATTAAGAAAACACATGGCGTAGCGTTCACCTTACGCTTTTGCCTAAGTTTTGCGTATGACAACAGTGAACATAATAAATCAGCAGGCCTTCCGCACAATATCCATGGCCTGAAGTTTTTATCAGCACCAAAGTTTAGAAAAACATCGATATTCTTCTAGTACTGCTTTTTCATTGTCCATCTTATTCCATCTTATACAACCTTAAATTTTCAGTAATTATGAACTTAATTATTAGGGTTATGTCAGTCAGTGGCGGTTCTAGATCATTTCAACTGAGGTGGCAGACACGGACCAGTTGTTTTGTTATAGGGGGTGAAGATCAGATGCATTTGACCTTAATGTCCTCTAAGTATCACTTAAACAAGACTACGAGCATTAAGAAGCAAAAAATCATTTTGAAAACCGATGTTATCCAATGCTTTGCAGTCATATTTTACAGTTTCTACAAATATGTAATTCACTCTGATTTCTTGTTTATAGACTGGCTTGCTTCCACAAGCCTGATTATTTTTTTCTGTCGTTAACTTTGCTTTTCATCAGCTTAAGCGACTCGACCACCTGGCGCACCCACGTTGAGTCCGTCAAGAAAATATGCTTACGTTTGTGTTTTAGCCTAATATATAAATGCAAATAATAATAATAGTAATAATAATATATTTATATCGCAGCCAAGCGGCATACGTATTTAGGAGGGCGGGGGGGGGGTGTGCATGTTGTCACATGGGCACTGGCTTTCTGCTCGAAACCGCCTACTCCCCCCTCCCCCCCCCAAAACCCCCTGCAGTATGCCAGTAGTTTTTCTTTCTTTCTTTGTAATTGCAGTTCTGCCAATTGCCAGTCGTCTTTTGAAGGTCGTCTTTTAAATGCAAATAGCGCGGAAACTCATGCACACATCTGCGTGCGTCATCGTTTCAGATGAGATACACCCTGATACAGCCATGGCTGTTTCCTGGTTGTCTACGTCTCGACTGAGTTTCTACAAAATGTTCTACGCATTATTCATAACAGGGGTGTAGCCTAATATGTTACAACATTATTCCACAGCTAATTGACCAGTATGAAGAGCCATGTACCATCCCTGTGGACCAAGCTGTATACCGTCCTGAATATCTGGAAGCAGGGATACACACTGGACTGAAAATCACGATATATATTTTAGCATCTACTGGTGTGCGGAACCATAGCTGTCAAGTCTCCCGTTTTGGCCGGGAAACTACCGTATTTTACCCCTCTTTCCCGCCGTCCTCCCGTATTAGTATTTTCCCGTAAATATCCCGTATTATAAGATCATTTAAAAAAAAAATTCATCTGCCTCTCCAAACTGAACTGTCAGTAGCCTCGCGAGAACTGCCACCTGCAGTAGTCTTCAGGTCATTCACAACATTAACCAGGTCATAAATGCGGAATTTAAAATGGCAATGCTGTGTGCTAAAAACAACGTTACTTTCACCTTCTGTGACGACTTCAACAAGGATACAAATTCTGCAACAAATCTCTATAATAAGTCATTATAGTGAATGCCAGAGAGCCACATGAGTGAACATGAGAAATTAAGAGAAAATGTGTAATGAAAATAAAATGTAAATGACAAGTGGTTATTTTAGATTTCTTGTACACCTGTCTTAAAATGTAAGGGATACTGGAGCTTGGTTGGGGTGGTGGGATGGCTCGTGGTGGGTGCCGGAAAACTTCCTTTATTTTCCAATCCAAAACTTGACAGGTATGCGGAACTGGTAAAAAATAAATAAACAAACAAACAAATGAGCAAGCAAAAAATGGGAACTAAGATCATAACTGAAATAAAAAGACAGAAAATGTGTGGTCCAGTGTTATTTTTCAATTTAGTTTTTATTTTTATCTACATTTCAATTTTCATTTGAAATCCAGTTCAGTTCCAGTTAGCTCTCAGTGTGGTTTTATTGCTTTTTATTATTTTTTAAAATATAGATTTCTACTTGGGATATTTCAGTTTGTGTTAGTTTGTGTCTAGATATAGACTGAAAGTTGAACGGGTCTCATTTTTAAAGACTACGACACGAAAAGACAATTCATAGAGATGTTCCATATATCGGTCCAATGTGTCCATTTTGGAAGATATAGCCCGCTGATATTTAAACTTACATAACCACTAAAATAACGGCGATGATTGCGTAGGATGACCAACCATTTTCCGTAGTGGTGGGCAAGGGATTTCATCGGGTCATTCATCAATCTCAAGAAATAATATACCACCACCCACCCAATTGGTGCACCCATAAAATGGCCTCTGTATGGGGAAAAGCATGTTCTCTATGCAGGTATTACTAATGTAAAGCTAGTGAACAAAGATTTTGTCATTTATGGAAGGCACTTGTTATGCTGATTTCAGAAATACGCTCAGAATCTGGCATCACCCATAGTATTCAAGTGAAGTCATTTTAGGCTATATTGATAGCATATAATTCCTTATTAAGAATGTGTGGACTTATTAAAGTTTAAGACAAGACGATAAGGATAAGACATGATGAACTATATTACACACAGGGAAATTTCGGTGCGATTATACAAACATAATCGGACAAAACCTACATAACAGCACTGTACGAATGGACATTATTATTATTATTAGTAGTAGTAGTAGTAGTAATAGTCGTATTATTATTAGTATTAGTAGTATTATTAATAATAATAATACATTTATTTCTGATTTTTTGTCTATTTGTGAACAATTTCAAGATTTACAAAAGTGAACAAAGACCCGTCAGTCTGTTTGGCCGGAGTGGACCTTTTGGATGACTTACTTCCATCACGCACACATACTGTAAAAATATGAAAGTATATTAAGTATAATTTTGATTCCCTCCAAATCCTTGGGAGGGAAATTACAATTAGATACACAAAAATACGGTAAGATGAATCCATCTTGATTCAGGCGACAAAAAAGTACACAATTTGTGGATCAGTGTAATTAAAGATAAATCATTATGTATTTACTTTAGCTAAACAGCATTTTTAAAATGGTAACGGAAATCATGTAACGTTTGTTTTTATTTTGTTTCAATTCTGGAAGCAATTTCGTTTAATTGTAGTTTTAAAAATTTACGTTCGTATCTGATATTATGTCAGTTTACGAAAACGCTTTATTATCATTTAAGTTTTTATTAATGATAATAACCGTGGTCTAGTCAAAATAACCCAATGAACCGCACTACAGTTCCTGCCGGGTGTGTCTGCTTGTTACGCAAAAGCTAACAACTGCATTGTTGTTAGTTATTTAACCAAACGAGACAACTGACCTAACAAGATTTTCTGGAACAACCTTCTTTGGCGTTAGATACGAGGCTTTCAGGGGTGTCAACTGAAACCAGTTTAGAGTTTTTTCTTTCTAGGAATTAATGGACAGCAAGATAGACTGGAGTTTGACAAGAGGGCTACGAGGTGTTCTGCTTGTTATATAATGGAAACTCCTCCCCCTTTTGCAAAGCTTATAAACAAACAGGAACCAAGAAAAGACCCCACTGCTGTTTCATCTCTGGCTGAGACTAACCACTGCTCAAGGAGTTGCTAATTTGTTCTTCACTGTAGAGAGTTACAGAAAAAGTTCACGATGGCATCCATGGGAAAGGAGCTTCTAGGATTGGCCCTGGCCATCATCGGATTTCTTGGGGTCATCATCGTGTGCGCCCTGCCCATGTGGAGAGTGACTGCCTTCATCGGAGCCAACATCGTGACAGCACAAATCATCTGGGAAGGCTTGTGGATGAACTGCGTGACCCAGAGCACAGGGCAGATGCAGTGCAAGATCTATGATTCCATGCTCGCCCTGCCCCAGGACCTGCAGGCCGCCCGCGCCCTGGTCGTCATCTCCATCATCGTGTCCTTCTTCGCCATCCTGCTGGCTGTGGTCGGCGGAAAATGCACCAACTGTATCGAGGAGGAAGCTTCAAAGGCAAAGGTAACCATCGGCAGTGGCGTTGCCTTCATCATCGCTGGTGTCCTCTGCCTTATTCCAGCCTGCTGGGCAGCTC